GTGGGCTGGATGATCTCCAAGGTCTCTTCTGACATTCCAGGAGATGTTGTGTCTCTCTTCTGGGTTATTTGCATATGCTTTGCATATATTAATAGTGCCTGCTTGAAGAAAGAGGGCACCACCCACACCGGCCTAGAGTCCCACCCACCATTCTGACTCCCCTTGCCCATTGGTCCAGGCTTCTTCGGCTCCAGTTTCCTAGAGGGTGGAAGCTGAGGCTGAGCATTCCCTGGGGAGGGGGGCCCCTGGCCCCTGCATCCCAGCTTTGCTAGAGCTAAGGCCAAGGTATGGCTTTGGTGGAGGGAATCCCTGTCCTGCCCTAAAAAGTCCAAACAGGGAAGCATGGTCATATGCCTTTGGCTTTCCAGATGCCAGAAGCTTCCGTAGGTGCAAGAACTCCCACTCTGCTCCATCTGCCATCCACAGTCCCTGATGAGACTGACCAGGTTGTGCCTCTGCCCAGGTCCCTGGGCTCCAGGAATGTGGGCTGAACATGGGCCTTAGAGATGGTCATTAAGAAAGATTAGGTTAGGGCTGTAGCTCAGTGGTAGAGCGCTTGCCTTGCAGGTGTGAGACCCTGGGTTCCATCTTCAGCACCACATAAAAATAAATAAATAAAATGAAGGTATTGTGTTCATCTACAACTAAAAAAAAAATTCAGACAAAGAAAAATAAGAAAGAAAGAAAGACTAGGCCATTCACAGCCTCTCTGGGCCCTTCCTAGTTACCGTACCAAAGGCAGGTTCCAGGCCCTTCTGAGGGCTGCAGGCATCAACCAGGGCGGGACAGCCTGCTAGCTCCAGGTTGGCTCCCACGTGTCAGCCCAGCCTGATCTTGTGGGGATTTTCCCCAGGGCTTCCTCTGCGGCTACCTGGTTTGTGCTCAATATCTGGCATTGGGCAGTGCCCTGGATCCCAGCCTTCAATCCTGGCCTTGGTCCCTTTCACCCACATATCACCTGTCACATGGGACAAGGCTGGAGTAAAGGTTAGCAGCCTGGAAAAGATAATGTGGAGCCACCCGAATAATGATGAGACTCTCTGAAGACAGGAACAAAATGCCCTCCACCACCAAAGAGGACAACCAGTGGAAATGCAGCAAGAAAGATCAAAGTTAGTCTTAGGAAAGGACTGTCCCAGGAGACAAATTAGTTTCATAGAATTTTGTGAAGGGTAAATGAAATAACATAAAAACACCCATTGCAGTGCCTGACGTAATAAATACTCAATAAATGATGTGTTCATGAACCCAGAGAAACCCCCTCGTTAAGTCTGAGTCTTCGGGTGTGACAGAGGCTGAGGAGGTGGAGGAATAATTCCTAGAAGATCTGTTTCTCCCCTACTTGGACTGCTGCTCCCCCTACCCCCCTTCAGGCCCCACACATGCACTAGGCTCACGGCCAGCCCCCTGGGACACCCTGCCCTCATCCTCTCTGCTGGGAGTGGGCAAACAGAAGGGTTTGGAGGCTGGAAATCTGCTCTTCTCTCCCTCCCCCTGTCTCTGCACAGGACAGCTTGAGAGGAAATAGGCCTTTGCTGCAGCAGGAAGAATCGGGGTTAGATAGGAAGAAAAACTTCCTGTCTAGTTTCCATAAAGGGAGACCCCTTTCAGGTGGGGACCTCAGTGGTATTTTCATTTCACTGGTAGATCTATGCGCTCAGGTAGGCTGGTGTTGTGTCTAGGGCCAGAAGACTGATTAGCATGACTTTCCAGATAACCTTTGGCCATCCAGAGGGGTGTTACTATTGTGACTGGCAGAATATAGGGGCCTTGATGGAGAGGGGTCCTGAGTTGCTGGAGAAGAGGATGCAGAGGTGAAGAACTAGCTAGCATTGGCCCGGTGTCTGAGCTGCCTGTCTACCCTGCTGCTGGGTGACACTGGTGACTTCATTGCCCACCTCTGGTCTCCAGTGTCCTTGGTATAAGTAGAAAGGGTAGACCAGAAGGACTTGAAGCTCCTTCCAGTCGTCACAGAGTCTATCCACCTCCTCTCTCCTGAGATAATACATGACTTGCCACACGAAGTGTGGGAAGAACCTTTCCCCAGCTTTAGCTAAGCCAGGAGAAATGGAGATTTGGGCCAAGAGAATATGGGGGAGCCTGTGTGCGCATGCGCACAACTTGGGTCTTATAACAGCCCCTTCTGTTCTGAAGACTCACCTTGCCTAATCTGTCCTTCAGTCTAGTGGATGGGTAAGGGAGTGGCAAGAGGGTTCAACTCTCCCCTGAAGCATAACCCCACAGTCTTCCTCCTCCTATATGAACTGGCTTTGCCCACTCCATTCCATCTAGAGTCTATAATCCAGTCCACATTTTCCTTCTCTAGGTTGGTCCAGCTGGTGGCTCAGCTCCCCAACAACCTAACCCAGGTTCTCCGTACAGTCAGACAGCCGGCTTGGTTGCCTGCATGTCCCGGCATGGAGTTTCTTAAAACTGGAAAGGAGTTGGATTTTTTCCCCATGTTGCTACTCTCACCTCTGCAAACATCCTCATCTCTGTACACTGGCTTCTTTCCATCCCAGCCACATAGCATGATGAAATCCCAGACCCAGGAACATAGCAGGGACCTCAGACTCCATCTACCAAGAGGCCTCTGGCCCAGAGACCCCTTAGAAAGGCCCCAGCTAGAGGTGTTTGTGCTGAGGGTGGGGACAGGGGCCAGGGAGACAGGGACTTGCCCTGTGCCCCCTCCATGCCCCTGGGTGCCTGATCATTGCAGATGCAGCTGGTATCCTTGGCGGTGCCCCAGATACCTGCCTGAGGGAGAATGGCACTCCCAACTGGCTGGTTGTGACCATGCCGACACATCCCTGTAGATGCATTCTGGGCCTGTCTGCCACCTCTCCTTGGCCCTCCATACTCTGTCCCCAGCCGGTGGACATGTTGGCCTGAGGAGTCCCTAATTGTTGTCCCTAGTGGCATTATAAGTTGAAAGCTGGGGCTAAGAGGAAAAGTGAGCACTGTTAGGACTGATACAGACCCTCGCTCTGTAGACCCCCAGGTATTCTGGCTTCTCCAGCCTGGGTGCTCTAGGATTTCTGGTTGGCAGAACAAGAAGGGGCCTTTGAGGGGCTTTCCACTGCTGCCTCTGTGATGGAGGAGGGAAGGGCAGGGCAGAAAAGGGTTTCTGGACAGACTGAAGTCAACTGAAGATGAATGAAGCTCAGGAAGTCCTGGGCCCACCTCTGTGACCCTGACAGCTCATCATTCCCTTGGCCCATCTGGCCACCCCAGTTAGAATCATCTGCCTCCCTTTCTTAGAATGAGGTAAAAAGAGACTGAAGAAAATCTCCTCTTCCACCTAATTGCCCTTAGGAGATAGTTCATGCTGAAGCATGCAATGGAAAGAGAATAGACTTTGGGTAGAACTTCCCAAAGGGCACTGAATGAGAGCCAAAGATGAGGAGGATGGATGGGAGGCAGTTTAGCTCTAGGCCATGAGCTCAGACTCTGGAGTCAGATAGATGAAGGCTGGGATCCCAGCACCAGTACTCCTTTGCTATGTGGTTTGGGGCAAGTTGCTTCACCTGTGTGAGGTTCAGTTTCCTCATCTGTAACTCGAGGTTATTCCCAGTGCTGCATCCCAGAATTCAAAGAGGTATTATAGGCAGAGTTGCTGGCCCATTATAAACATTCAGTAAATAGTAATTTCCTGGTGTTCCTCCTCCTCATCACTGTGAATGACTGAATGGGGGACCACCCTCCACAGAGGAAGGGGCGTGTGTGAGGAAACCTCTTGAGCTTGGCCCACCTGGGTCTGGACCTCTGGGGCTGCCACTCAGGCTGGTGAGAGGAAGGAAGGAAGAAGGGGCTCTGCAGTCTCCACTGGTCTTCTGTGCCCCTGTGTCTGTCTGCTTCTCTCCCCTCCCAGCCTGGACCCCATCCCCACTCAGGAAGCCCTCTGGGGCTGGAGACATCAGTGAGCATTCTTGATTTCTTCCCCAGTCAATGTCCCAACATCTGGGTATGACAGCTGTTTCTCCCTGGGATGTCCGCATGTTGGGTAATCGGTGGGAAAATTGGAACCATGAGATTGGCAGGGGGCTCTGGGAACGCTTGCAGCCAGGCGTGATGTGCGTACGGATAGGTCTGAGCCAGCTAAGTGACGGCTGTGAGGAGTGGGTCCCCAGGCCACAGTGTCCCCAGGCAGGAAGGTCTTAGTGCTGCCTGCCCTGGGTGAAGGCAGTAGAGAGGTGTTGCAGCCCCATGGAGACAGAGCAGATTTAGAGAGGACTTCCTGCAGGGTGAGGGAAAGGCAGGATGGACAACTGGGGGGACTCTCCAACCTGATGGTTGGAAATTGGGCGTGGGGCAGGAGCTAGGGGGCGGCTTCAGGCGGGTCTGGGCCAGGTGTGTTTTTCTGCCCAGCCCATCGCAGTGTGAGTGTGTGAGCGTCTGTCAGCGTGTGGTGCCTGCCTCCTCCATGTGTGCTGAGGGGGACTTCCTCAGGGTTAGGGGTGAGTGGAGCAGATGGGGACCTCTGGGGCTGGAGAGAGGGTGGGCAATAGGGCCACCATGACAGGCTCTTCCAAAGCCAGAACTCACTGGCTTTCCAGGATGGGGTGACCTTCGATGGGCCTTCCAAGGTGCTATCACTTGGGATCTTGCATGGGCACCCCAGAAAGGTCTGCCCTGTTTCTGGGAGAAGAACCAGGCCTGGCTCATTGACTGTCTGTCCTGGGGACTCCATTCTGGGGACCCCATGTCTTCCGTGTTGTCTTGCTGTCTGTCCTCCTGTCTGTCTTCCACTGATGTCTCTGCCCCTCAGTCCCTGCTCTTCTTCCAAGACCCAGTCTCTATCCTGCTGCCCCCAAGACCCTGGTGACCCCAAAGGGACAGCTCCTAAGGCTCTGCCTTGCTTTGTCCCTGGTCCCTCCAGGGCCTCTGGCCCTGCCCTACCACTTTGAGAGCCCTGCCCCTGCCCCTGCTCTCCCCAGCTGCTCGAGGGGCCTGTCTGGGCGCTCATTCACGACTCTCCTCCTTTCCTGTCCCTCACCCAGGGCTCCAGCGAGCGGCGGGAGGGAAGCCTCCAGGACTGTGTTCCCTCTGTTTAAAGTCTCCAGGTTAGTAAGCAGGAGGGAGCCCCGCGTCCTTAGTCAGACCCCTCCCCAGCCTGGAGGGCCCGCGACGGGGGAGGGGCTGTCCCTGGTGGGCCAAGGCCTTTGCCAGGGGAGGGGACAGCAGATACCCAGCTCTGGGGAGGGCGCCTTGCCTGGCAGAAATTGTGTCTATGTGTGCATGTGAGTGTGCGCGCGCCAGCACGTGGGCGTGTACATGTGTGTGCGGGCGGCACAGCCTCCTTGTAATGCGGGCTGGGAACGGGCTAGAGGCACTGGCTGACCCTCCCAGGAGGGGCGGACACCTGGGGAGAGGGATCCAGGCAAGAGGCCTCCGCGGAGATGGAGGTGGGCGCCCTCCGACCTTGACGGGGGCTAGCCAGGGTCTGGCCTGCTGAGATCCACGGCCGAGTCTGTTTTGCCAGGGGCCATACAGACTCGGCCGTGGATCTCAGCACTGGCTGACCTGGGCTCGCCTTTCACCAGCCGGATCGCTGGCTCCTTGCTCATGCGGCAAATCGCGAACCACCTTCTCTGTGCAGCGCGGGCCAGGCTCAGAGGCCACTGGTGATCAAGACAGAGACGGTCCCCATACCTTGCTTCCCCGGTGAGCACAGGTGATGCAGGGCTCAGCTGAGCAGCTGCTGTGGCCCGGCCAGCTGACTACAGGACACCTGTCACCTCCTGGGGGAGGTGACCCTATGTCCACTGTTGCCATATTGGTGCCTGCTCCTCCTGCTGGCAGCTCCTTTGTTTATGTCCCTGTAGAGTATCCCCCAACCTGTCCCTCTGGTTGTGACTCCACCAAGCAAGCAGTGACTCCAAGTGGCTCCAAGTGCCTGGCGACCCTGGCATTTGCAGGCAGCACTGTTAGGCTACTGCGGAGGCTGCTTCCGAGGGCATCTAGCACCTAGGCTGGGGAGGGATATGGGGAGAGAGCCCCCCACTGCCCGTGTGGGATCAACAGCACAGAGCAGAGTGAATCAGTGATATTCACATCCCCACTGAAGCCATCTCCCAGCTGTGTGGCCTGGGACCAGCCGCTTTCCCTCTCTGAGCCTCATTGTTCTTGCCTGTGGAACAGGGGGATTGTTGAGAAGAGTAAAGGAAAGCAGTGCTGGGCACCCGGCCTGCTGCAGGGCTGCCTGATGCTGGCTCCCTTCCTGTCCCCACCCTGCTCAGGTGGCCAGTCGGTGTCCTGGGCACTATCTGGGAGCTGCCTGCCCCCTCCTGCCTGGAGCGTCCTCAGGCCCCAGCTTCTAGCCCTCTGCCGCTCTGAGCTGAGGTTCAGCCCCAACCCGGGCGGACAGCCTGGGGAGGCCGCCCTCCTTGCCACTGTGGCTGCCGCCGCCTTGATAGCTTTTTAATAACTTTGCTCTGAGACAATCTGCAGAGCGCTCGCTCGTTTGTCTGCCTCTTAATTAAAATTACCGTTTTCCTAAAAGAGCAAGGACGCCGCTCCCTCCACCGTCCTGGACGCCGCGGGAGAGGGAGAGGGCGGAGCCGTCCTCCCCGCCCCTCCGGGTCTCAGGGCCACCTGCCTTCCCTACACAAAGGCTCCGCCTACGGGGTGGGCTGCGGGCAGGGAGCTGGGAGGAGGCCGGGCCTCCAGCAGAGGCCCACTCCCGTTCTCCTTCTCCCGGCTCTTCTGGAATACCTCGAGGACAGGGGGCCCAGGACCCTCCAGGCTGGTTCTACATCTATAAGAAGGTGGAGCAATGCCAGCCTGGCTTTGCCACCCAGAGTGGAACGAGATCTGGATGCATTCTGGAACCGTCCGGGGGAGGATTGTTAGAGAGCCCAGTGGGGGTGCGAGTGGTCTGGGGCAGAGGCCGCCACCGCGCTGGGCAGACAGTGGGCTCAGCCCCTCGCTGTTGACCTGCATTCAGAAGAGACCCGAGCTTCCTCCGTGGGCTGTGGGTGCTCCTTTAGTCATTTGGAGTTTTGGAAGAGTCACTGATCATCAGGAAAATGCTAACGCCCAGCCGAGTGGAGCGCCGCCTGGGGCCCTGGGCTGGATTCGCCATCACAGCTGAACCATGGGCTCCAGGCTGTGGACTCTTTCACTGGGGAGGAGGCAGAGGCGCCCACGCAGAGGGCTAAGCAATAGTCTAAGGCCAGACAGATACCGCCAGGCTCCAGGGCAGCTTATGCCCTATGTCCTCTCCTTCCATCCTGCCTTCCTCCCGAAGTCTTTCTTAGGTCTAGCCCCAGTCCCTCATGCTGCATACAAGATGCCTTTGCCTCACTTCTTCCTGCAAGTGAGGTTCCTCTGTGGTCCCTGCCACTAAGAGCTGGCTCAGGTTCAGGCCCACCTTCTCCTCCCAACCCTGCTCCTTCTGAGATGTCTTTACTGGACCAGGTCGGGCTTCAGCAGCTTCATTAGCCTTGGCCCTGTGGCTCCTCTTCCAGGACTATGCCCAGCCCACGTATTGCTCACATAGTCATTCAGCAAACAGTTAGTCCACACCTACTGCCTACTGTGTGCCTGGCCATGTGGGAATCTGAGATCATGAAGCAGAGTTTAGCAGGGGGCACTGTGCTGCCTCCTTTATCCTGCCCCGCCCTCAGCCACCTTCCCCCATCACCTCTGGTCTCCCCTCTCTGAACCCCTAGAGCCCTGTCTAATCTCTTCCTGTGATCTGCCTTGAACAGTCGGTTCTCTATATATCCAGCCTGCTAGTTTACCTTTTTTTTTTGTACGGGGGATTGAACCCAGGGTGCTAACTACTGAGCCACATCCCCAGGCCCCCCCCCCCTTTTTAGTTGCAATTGGACACAATACCTTTATTTATTTATTTTTATATGGTGCCGAGGATGAACCCAGGGCCTCGCACATGCTAGGCGAGCGCTCTACCGCTGGGCCCCAGCCCCAGCCCCCCCAGCCCTTTTATTTTTTTATTTAGAGACAAAATCTCGCTGAGTTGCTGAGGTTGGCCTCGAACCTGCAATCCTCCTGCCTCAGCCTCTCCAGCTGCCTACTGGTTTGCTTTTGCTCTTGGAGGCAGCAAACACACTGCCTTGGAGGGCAGGACATGAGCAAGACAGTGGATGCGGACCACAGGGAACAGTGGGGACTGTGGCAAGGAGAGGTGCATGTGTGCTTCTTGTAGACACTAAAACCCAAAGAAACAACAACAATAACAAAACACCACCCAAACCAACAAGATGCCTGAGCCACAGTGTGGCCATCGACCTTGTCCCCGCCACTGCCTGGCACATGGTGAATGTGTTCTGATTGTTAAATGACTATGTGACTGTAATGACCAGGCACTGGGCTAGGAGATACCTGATCGACCTTATTTCCTGTGCATTATTTCCCCGTTTTGCCACTGAGGAAACAGATCAAATGACTTGTTCAAGGTCACACATGGGAGGTGGCAGACTTCGACTTGAGCCTCGGCTTGCTTTGTCCTTCTGCCTGCTGTTTGGTCATGGGTGTGTGTCCATGTGACACATGACATCTGTGTCTGCCCTAAGTGACAGGGAGCCCTTGGGTGGCCAGGGCCACTCAGCTGATGTGCATTGCTTGCCCACGAGGTGGGAAGGTTGGGAGGTGAGGGCCAGGAGGCAGGAAGGGAGCAGGGGCCCCTCGCCTGAGTCCACCCCTCCTCCTCAGCCTCTGGTCCTGTACCAACAGCCTGGGGACAGCGTGGTGACAGGTGCCGAGCTGCAGAGATGACAGCGTGCTGATTCCCCCATAATTACTGTCTGATGAGATGCCAGAATTAGCCACTGCGCAAGCATGGGGCGCAGACAGGGGGCACAGTGCAGGCAAGCAGCTGGGGGAGGGGAGCTTCTCCTTCCAAGCCTGGGGCCTTCTGTCAGTAGGGTAGCAGTGGGGAGAAGGAAGTAGGTTAGCAAGGAGGAAGTACTGTGTGGTTAATATGCATCAGTTCTTATGTGGTTGTGGCTTCTCCATCCTCATGGTGGCAGGGCCTGTCCCTGAGGTGGCTGGCTGTTGGACAGGTCATCCAGGGCCTCAGGCCACTGGCCAGAGAATTATAGACAAAGCAGCTACTCACTCAGACTTCCAGACTCACCCTTTGGTGTCTGGATATTGGTTCTGCCTTGCTGGGCTGTGAGGGGCATAGGGGACGAGAGTCGGTCCCTCTAGTCACATGAGCAAGCCCAGGTGCCGGGGCGGGGGTGGCAGATGGAAAAGCCTACAAGGAGCTCTAAGTTTTAGCTGCTGTGGTGGGGAAAGGCGTCCGTCTCCGGCAGGAGAATCAAGCTGGACACTGAGGTCCAAGGCTGGGGAGGCCTGAGGCAGGAGCAGGGGCCGGGAAGGCTGGTCTGGGAGCCGTGGAGCAGCTGCTCGTGCCCTGGACGTGTTCCTGGCCACTGTGTGGGAGCAGAGGGGTCTGGGAAAGGCAGCTTACTAGAAAAAGCAGGAAGGAGTCATCTGCTGGGCTCCTGAGACCTTGTCAGGCCCATAGAGCGGCTCTGAAGGCCACCCAAAGAGAGGGGTGGTGACAACATGGGACTTGCCAATCAAGGCCAGGTAGAAGGTCAAGGCTCTGGAGGCCAGGACACAGGAGGGAGCTGACTGCTGGGCGCCTGCCCTCCCCCAGCATTGAGCCCCATCTCCCTAAAGAGGTTGGGTAAGGGCTGTGTGTTGCTGGGACAGGATGGTCCCTTCCTAGGGCGTGGGACCGACAGTGACGTGAGAAGTTCTGTCCTTATAGCTAAGACAGACTCAGGGGCAGAACCGGCATCTTCCTCGGGGCCGCGGGGTGTCGGGGAAGAAGACCATGGTTGAAGTCAGGCTCACTCACCCACTCCAGCTTCAGACAAGCTGCCCTTCCTGAGCCTCAGTCTTCTCTTCTGTGCGATGGGAGGGCAGCCTCACCTGGCAGCCGAGAGCCCCGCGATTCCTGGCTGTCCTGGGCTTGTGGAGAGGTGTCGGTTCCCTGCTGGCATCCAGTTAACCCCGGGGCAGGTTAGGCCCTTCCCTCAAGGTGGCTGAGTCTGAGAGCACTGGGGGTCTCCAGTCTTCAGCAGAG